GTTAAAAACACATTAGACTCAGATGATTTGATTTTATGATTTACCCCATGATACCCACCCCCAGTAACCGTACTGGCCTCTGTTGTCATCATCATGCCAGAATCGTTTGCAGATTGCAGATTTCTGGAAACTCTAAATGTCGATACAGGAGATGCTGGGTTAAAGATATAGTGGACAGCTTTATTTGAAGTGCTTTACATTTATGAATGGATACAACTTCTGCATGGCTGGGCCAGGGAAGAATACATTTCTACTTTGGCAGTTTTAGTTCATTGCTACCAAGTGAACACACACTTTGAATGGAAGAAGCCAGGACTATATTTATCAAGCATCTCAAAGTCAGCCCTATGAGTTTTATTGTTTTATTTTTTTTATTTTTTTTACAAAAATTGTGCGCCATTTGGCCAGAACAGACTGATTATACATGCATAAAAACATTTATTTTAAATTATTACTCAATCATAGTTGCTGCATCCCAAATGATAAATATTGCATTGCTCTGTTTTCAATAAGTGTAAATTGTAAGGTCTTGTTTTTTGCATCACAGGTACGGTTTTATAGATAGAGTTGTTAGCCAGGACGGCCGTAAGATATTTGAATCAGCCATTAGAAACCTGTTGTTATTTTAAATCACGACTCTACTTTATATATTTCTACACGTCTTAGAATATCATTCACCTCCTGTTGGGAGCTTCTAACAGTTTCCGACGGCTCCTCTTGGTGTTGGAGAAGAGGGTTACATTTTCATTGGTTTGGACGTCATCAAAAATGTGTTTTTACCGCAGATGGGACTTTTCAGTCTTTTCCATTTCCTTCTCTAAGACACCTGATGAATACAAGCGCTGGTTTCCATTTGGTTTTTTGGTGTCATGTAACTGCTGTCATGACATTAGTCGTGAGGCGCCATTATGTGCCATCTCCATTGTGACCTGGAATTTTTCCTTTGAATTGGCGCTGTCCTTTGCTTTGTTTGGACAGGGGCTGTGAGAGGCCCCCGTATTAACAACTGCAGTGCAAAGACAACTCTTCATGCACTGAGATGGGCCCAGCCATACAAATACTGGTCACACATGGGACACGCCCAAAATACATTTCTCCAAATTCTATGTGTGTATGATGGAAAAAAGGATGGAAAATGTTTACGTTTGGTTTCAAAGTATTTAAGATGGAAACTGTTATAGTGATTAATTGTCAGATAGACCACATGGAGAGACTGACTCTGGTGTACTCTGGTAAATTGTTTTAGAGAGTGGAGAGGAAGTTTATTGTTCACCTAACTGTCATCAGGAATTCCACGAAACTACTATTTCTAGATCGCTGAAATTCCTTGAATATTTAGTTTCAGTATCAGCATGCTAGTCACCTTCATGAACTTACAAGCAAAACTGTAATGGCAAGGTACAAAGCATAGGTAAAATAAATGATTAAAAAACACAGCAATCGTGGCTCCAAACTGGAAATATCGGAAGAAAAGTGCGGATCAGGAGTACCGCTTTTCCACCAAATTAGCTCTGGTTCTTGAACCGGTTCTGTTGAGGATTCAACGACATAAGTAACCTTATTAGAAATAAACCTGCCTCCTGTTCGGAGCTGAATAAGGTCGTTCTATGCTTTTTTATTTTAATGTGGGTTATAATGGTGGTACTTGGAGAGCCTAATATATTCTGAGATGGTACACGGTGTACTATAACACTGATAGATATATATTAACCTTCGCAGCCAGCACCAGTACTGAATTCACTTTATCTTTCCACAGATATTATCCCCACTGACAAGGAGGAAGTGGCCTTCAAGGACCTGGACGCAGCCATTTTGGTGGGCTCCATGCCCAGGAAGGACGGCATGGAAAGGAAGGACCTGCTCAAAGCCAACGTGGCCATCTTCAAGAGCCAGGGAGCCGCCCTGGAGAAGTACGCCAAGAAGACCGTCAAGGTAATGACACACTACGCAGTTTAGACACGCCCAGACATGAAAATACGCTGAGATGTCAATCCCCTCCTTTTTCTACTTGTCAAAGGCTGTTGAGTGAAACTATTCTGCTTCTGGCTGAGTTGCTTGTGTTACATTACTTTCCCGGGTGTAGAAAATGTTCCCTGCACATTTGTTGCTACTGTGCTTGTGCTGGGTTGATTCCCATTGTTCAGAGCCCTGGTGTTTATTTTCTCAAGCTTAACCATATTTTGTTGTTCCTTTTATGATATTAACAACAGTATTATATATTATACATTATTGTTACATTTCACAATATTTACAATATTTAACAACAAAAACATGCTTCCCTCTGGTAAGAATAAGATACAAAACCTACAGCTAAGACAGTGATCCAGACCATTGAGTTTACATTGACTTAGATCAGATGACACACTGTGTGTGTGTGTGTGTGTTTGTGTGTGCGTTTGTGTGTGCTTTTTCAGGTGCTGGTTGTGGGAAACCCTGCCAACACCAACTGTCTGATTGCAGCCAAGTCTGCTCCCTCCATCCCCAAAGAGAACTTCTCCTGCCTCACTCGCCTGGACCACAACAGGGCTCGCTCCCAGGTGCGCTCCTTTTACACTCTTGTTTGTTCTTGCAGTTGTATTCACACTTTTCTTTACAAATTGGCCTCACAGACTTTTAGCTGCCACATTGTCAGTTCTTTGTCTGATCTAATTGTGAAACCTGAATTTGGGGTCATTTATGCTCTGCTCCTGCAGGTGGCGATGCGCTGTGGCGTTCCTGCCACCCATGTGAGGAATGTGATCATCTGGGGCAACCACTCGTCCACCCAGTACCCAGACGTCCATCACTGCTTGGTCAACATGTCTGGTAGTGAGCTCGCCTGCTTTGATGCAGTCAAGGATGATGCCTGGCTTAAAGGGGATTTCATCACTGTGAGTTAAAGAAGATGCATTGTAATCTATTGGACTGGGAGATACATTTTGCATGTGTACACAGTTACTGGGTCAGCCATTCAAAAATGCATGATATGCAAACCTTATACTGAAATATTTTCACATTTTACTGAAAGGTCTTGCTGCTGCTGACATTTCAGCCATTATCTCAAAACCTTGACAAATGGAAACAAATCTAGCTGCACTCAATAACTAACGCTAACCCTATATGCTCAGTTCTTCTGCTCACATTCACATTGACTGCCACTGCATTTTCATGTAATGGTCCATGTTATTTTATTGCAGACAGTGCAGCAGAGAGGCGCTGCAGTCATCAAGGCCAGGAAGCTGTCCAGCGCCATGTCTGCAGCCAAGGCCATCTGTGACCACATGAGAGACATCTGGACAGGCACCGCCGATGTAAACCCCACATTCATTTACACTGTAGTTATGATGTGGCAATGTCTGCCTGTTGCATTCTGTCAAGTGGCAATAACTTTCTAAGCAACAGAAGAATTTGAATCATCAAGCTACACGTTTTTTTTTTCTGTGTCTGTCCCTGGGAGTTTGTAGATAACAAGTAAGATACAGTCTGTGTTTGTACTTCTTGTATTCTTTTTTTTTTCTAGAAGACGGTTTAGTCAAGTCTTGTGACTTTGATTTCTGACAGGTCACATATGGTTCTGTGAAATGTAGTGTTTAATACTAATTTTATCATTGGTGATGATGAGATATCATATCTGTATAATAAGCAGGAATGTATTTGTAATGTAGTTTAACCAGTTTCTCTCTCTCTTCTTTTCAGGGTGAATTCATCTCCATGGGTGTTTACTCCTCTGGCAACTCCTATGGAGTCCCAGACGACCTCATCTATTCATTCCCTGTTCAGATCAAGGTGAGACTGATCTAACCTTGTGTTTACTCCTCTAGCAGTTTAAGTTAATGTTTTGAATTCAGCTAATAGCTAGCAATAAACTACACTGTGCTTGTCCTCAAGGTTTGTATTCCAAAATGCCAAACTTATGAAAGTATGCTGTTTCCTCAGGACAAGACCTGGAAGATTGTGGAGGGCCTGGCCATCAATGGCTTTTCCCAAACAAAGATGGATGCCACAGCAGCAGAGCTGATTGAGGAGAGAGACACAGCTGTGGCTTTCCTGGGAGTATGACTAGACCCCTTAAAGCCACCCAACCAGTACTTAGACAGCCCCAAAACTCCAGACGCACGCCTGTGATAAAGCACTCCACCAACCCCTGCATAACTCTTTATGTGTGTGAGTGAGAGCGAGTGAGAGAGTGAGTTAGTGTTTATGAGTGTAAAGTTGGATTTATATTTGTGCGTTGGGAGGCTACAGCGTAGAAATGAGCCTGTGCACACCTAGCTAAGCTCCACCTTTTTCAAACTGCACAGCAGCTACAGAGATCTCAACTGGAGACAGTGATTTGCTAGCTTGGGTTGCTTCTCTTTTGTTTCACAAACACTCAGTACTTGGGGGGCACCCTGGTAGCTCACCTTGCACCTGTGTACCACACATCAAGTCCTTACCGCAGTGGCCAGGGCAGGGTTCAAGTCTGGCCTGGGCCCTTTGCAGCATGTCCTCTCTCTTTCTGTCTCCCCTGTCTTTTCTATCTCTCTACTGTCACTGTCAGTTAAGGGGGGGGGGGTCACCAGATATACCCTGTGATCTGGCAAAGGCATTTGCACTACAAACCTTCTACTTGCTCTGATCTACACTGTCTATTACAAAGTGGGTGGAAAAAAAGAAGGTAATCAGGTTTACATTGGCTATAAGTGATTGCCCGACCTTAGCTTCCATTCAGTTGAGACTCCTACAGCAGGGCTGCTGTACACTGATGCACAAATATAACTCCAACTAAAGTGAACAGTATACTGAAAGTACACCAAATATGTTACCAGCTATTTACATACACTTTTCTCTGGGGGTAAGTGAAACATGGATGGTTGTTACATAGTCAATTGCATTAACACTGGAATGGATAACTTTCAAAGTTGAAACAATAAAAAAATGAAACCATGTACTTGTGTTTTCGTTGGTTTTATCTTACAGGCAATCAAATAGGCACAAAGTAGTTTGTTGTGTCTTAAGCTTCCATACTTTACAGCATATGGGCTGAGTGGTTAGTGCTGTCACATCATAGCAAAAAGGTCCAGGATTCAAGTTTGCCTGCCAGCTGGGCACTTCTGTGGATGTTCTTGATGTTATCTGTGTCGGTATGCATGTAAAGTGATGACTAAATTGGTGTGAATGTTTTTCTATTATGTAATAAATATAGAATATACTTATTTTTCCATACAATATACAAGAGTGACAACATATTGAGGGTTTTACTCCGCTTCTCTCTGAGTGAGCAACTCTCATCCCTCAGATGGATAGATGGATGGACAGACAAGCTTCCAGATTTTTCTTAATATTAGTATGCATGGTGGAAGGGTAGGGGAAAATATTTTTTATTGCACAGTTAGTCCTATAGGTGTAGAAAATAAAACCAAGTTGTGTAGTTGACACTCATAACATCTGAATGGATACATTCATTTGTGTCTTTTATTTAAACAACAGGATCAGATTACACAGAATCATACCAGATAGAAATGTTGTTACCTGTATTCTCCCAGCTCTGGTGAAAGGCATCTGCAAACAGATGAGTAAAATACTTAGAAGCTGCAGTACAGCGCAATATCACAGTTTCACCAGGAAGGGGCAGTGTTTGCTAGTTTATTCCCCCTTCCCAGCAGCATCAGCATGAGGAATGATTATGTAACATCTGTAATTAAGTTAAAATCACAATGTGCCATGATTGATAAGAAGTAAAAGCGGCAAACCGACAAACAACAACTGTACCAGAAAGATTCACTATTCCCACATTAATGGAGAAAACGTGATGTATCTTGAGATGTTGAACGCTGCCCAGCCGGTGTGATAGTACTCAGTTTAATGTACAGATGTACTTTAAAAACGAACCAGTACTTTAGGTATATGCACGTAGGGCTTCTTAGTATTTGATATTTCCAAATATTTCGATCTTTCTTTAACCCGGAACTGTCAGAGACCGTACCGCACGTCGCAGAAATATATTGGCAGCCAACGTTGCGTCACAAGAAAACAGCCTTCCTATTGGCTGCCATCCTCCTGCAACGTCCTCATTCGCCCCTTCCAGGAATGGCACTGTAGTGTAAAATATCTTCAAACTAATCACCTTTTTAACTTCTTTATTTTTTACCTTGTTGTGGTTTTTATTCGGCGTTTTCGAAGGGAAACAGAAGCCCTGTGTTTTAAGGTGAAAACCTGTGAAAAAAAACTACAACCCCCAAACACATATTGTGTGTACCCCACTGTCTCCTCAGGGATTGCTGTGGTCCTTCAGACCCGCAGGACCAGGCCGACCCCGTCGACTTTTCTTCCGCCAGCATCCTACAGTCACACAGTAAGAACATGTCTTTAAATCGCTTTGTCTCTTCACATTGTCCCGTTTCCCAAGAAGCGAGGGATGCCGAGGGTCGTATCTTCAAGTTAGCTTACAGCCCACCGGGGTATCTTCAGACGGTTATCCTCATGAGGTGTTCACGGCGCCACCGTTCACTTGAGTTGTCTTCGTGTTTCTTAAGGCTGTAAACTGTAGCCAGCGCTGATATTCGGTATTTGTTGAATACACACCGTCCTCTTCTGTCCCCATCTGTCCATGCACACATCAGTCGTTCACTTCCGCAGCCTGAAGCCTCTGAAGTTCCCCGTCGGGCAGGTAATGCGTGTGGACTCACAGGGGTGAAACTCACCGGTTAATAATTGACGGTGTAAGCGGACTCTGTCGTTAAAGAAAAGGGTCTGAAAAACTCCGAGTCTATGACAATAAGGTAATAAAAATGAAAGCAGGGGGCGAGGCGAAGGGAAAACATGAGCAGAGGCTGGGAGTCAGAACCAGTATCTGTGACGTGGTTTACAGTATTGGGGCTGGAGAATGAGAGGCAGACACCGCCAGCAATAAAAGATCCTGCTATAGATCCTCTCCGGCTTCTTGTTCAGGGACGACGTTTGGTTGCTGTCCTGGACCGTCCGTGTGACTGGATAAATGTGTCCTTGTCGTTTTTTTAGGCTCTCTCTTTTTTTTTTAAACGAGTACGTGAGGTAGACAGGAAGTCTCATGCTGCAGTCTCAGCTGTGAATGGACTGGCTTTAGGGATACCTCAAGGAAACTTTACGGAATGTGTGTTCAATGACACTTCGGGTTTCACTCTGAATGCTCGCTGGGATATTTAATTTGAAACTCTGTTGTTTTTGGATTTATCTTTTTTTTTATTTAACGATACTTGGCAGCTGAAACATGACACTTTATGTAGAAGGTAAGTAGTGATGTGGAGGGTATATTCAATCAAATCCTATCATTACATATACAAGGAAATGAATTAGTGGGATTAAAGGACCATACCTGTGTTGTTGTTTTTTTTACGTTTCTTTATTTACTAAACCGTCCACATTAATGTCAAACATTTCCCAGTCAAACACATTTTCTAATATGTTTAATCTACCTTTCTAGGCATTTTTAAGATGTATTCTTCTTACTGCCTTCCAAGCAAACACTGGTTTACATTCATTGGAATACATTATAAAAGATTATTTATTAAAGGCTTTGAGTTTGTCTCACATATCGACTGATCCATCTTGTGATGTTTGGTCAGATTTGATCAACTACATACTGTATCTCTTCAATCCATTGGAGAAGATGTAGTGAAATCTAAATTCTTAAATGGTGAAGCTTCCCATCTGTACATGAACACACCATGCTGAACCTGACTAACAACATTCAAATATTTGTGACTCAAAAAGAAATGTATTGAATGCACCTTTTATAGAGGCAGTCGAGGGGGAGTTTCAGGTCAAAGTTGTATTTCTTTATTCATTTCCTGTTACATATCTGTTTATGATCTCTTATTAGCAGCCAGCCTGCCAGTAACTTACACTTTACTGCTATGAATACAGCATTCAGCCCTCAAGATAAAGCAAATGTGCCAGTTAATTTAATTATTTCCTTAATTCTGAAACCACTCGACTATTGCTTTTAGATGTTAACATTTAAGAGGATCTATTGGCAGAAATATAATATAATATTCAAGTTACATATTAAAATTTTAATTAGTGTATAATCACCGGAATACAGGAATACAGTTTTAGTTACCTTAGAATGAGCTCTTTCATCCACAGACACCACAGGTTGCCATGTTGAACCACTATGTTTC